TTTCCTATTTTCAACTATAAATACCCCTTCATTCTTTCATTTTTCTTACAAAATCATCAATCTCTCTAATTTTCTTCTATAATTGCTACTATTGCTTATTTTATTGTTACAATTTGTGAAAAAATTGTGAAGTTGGTAAATTGAAGTCTTCAACGATAATCAATTTTCAACAAGTTGTTCGTCAACTCGATAAACTCGTTCCAACTCTTAATTTTTAATACTATAGTTTTGTTTGTTTTATTTATTTTCTATTATTTGATTAATTAAGATAGCTTCCTTAAAAAAACTTTTTGGTAAAAATAAGGGAAAATCCAAGAGTGGCGAATCTAGTGGCTAATATGTTCCTCCTCCACTGCCCCCGGCTCCCCGACCCAAACCCCATATCTGTCCTACACCTGTTATTCTTGATAGCGATAATAGTTTATTACAATTTACTGAGAATCAATTTTGCCATAATGTTGGAGCTGGTGAACAATTAGACCATGAATTAATGAATGCTCTTTATTCTAATCCAACTATTGTTGAAAATGACGAGGAGGAAATAGATTTTGATGAAACTCAACCGGATGACGATACATCCACTAGTCATGCTCCTGAAGTTAACCCAACTAGTGATAATCCAAATGATGCCCCATCTGATACTCCTGTTACTGCCCCTACTTTTTCTAGACAACGTACCAAACGGACAGAAACATCTATTGTTTGGCCATTTTTTACTCAACTAATTCCATAAAATAAGGCTAAGTGTAAAACTTGTGGCAAGGAGTTAGCTTTTACATATTTTGGAGGTGGACGGGAACTTTCGCTAGATACATATTGATACACCCTCAAGATAAAGTCAAATATCTTCGTGCCAAAGCTTTGGCCAAGGGGACAAGAATACCTACTCCTAGTCAGGCTGACCCTAGTACCAGGTAAAATCAATTTCAACCGGAAATTAACACTGTTACCGGTGGTATTTTATATTATGAACCAAAAAATGATCGGGAAGAATTGCCAAAAATGGTTACTGTTATGTGCTTACCCTATAGTTTTCCTTCTGACCTTCACTTTGTGCATTATATTAGAAAAAATTTTAATCCTACTTATAAAGGTTTTCCTCGCACAACCGTAAAACGTGATATTTATAAATATAAACATGAATATGAACAATATTTGCGTTATTTATTTACTCATATAAATTGTCGTGTTGCTATTACAACTGATATTGGTAGAAGTGGTAACAATTGTGATTACCTTACTATTATCAGTCATTGGATTGATGAGGATTGGATAATGCAAAAACGCATTATTGCTTATAGAATAATTAATTCACGTCATACAGGGCAGTTTATTGCTAGCACAGTTACGGATATTTGTAGATATTTTTGCATTAGTGATAAAATAATGTCAGTTTCAATGGATAATGCACTAGTAACACAAATGTTGTAGTCTTGCTTACCACTACACTAAGTCTTGCATTTAATAACATTTTTCATGTTAGATGTATGTGTCATATTTACCATTTAATTGTGGGTGATGGTATGAGAATTTTAAATATTGAAATTGAAAAGGTTAAAATGGCTCTTAACTGGCTTTTTTATTCAAACCGTAGAAGTAGACTTAGAGAATATTTTAAAAGATGCGATGAATTTGGCCTAAGAGAAAGAAAGGTCCTTAAACCTTGTCCAACTAGATGGAATTACATCTATGAAAGTTTAGTTGTTGCATGTGAATATAGAAACCCCATAAACTCAACGTTTAATGCTCATGTAAGTGATATGATGAGCACCTTACAGATGCGGATTGGGCTAATGTTAAAATGCTTGTAGATTTTTTAGAAAAATTTCATATTGCTACAAATGAATTTTCTGGGCAATATTATCCTACTATTTCTAATTGTTTAGTTTATATTGCAGAACTTGCAAATTTGTTTGGTCATTTTTCAGAGGATGGGGAAATTTATAAACTTGCTATTGATTCTATGAGAAAAGGGTTTAAAAAATATTTTTTCCCTATTCCCCCTATTTATGGTGTTGTTGCTTTGTTAAATCCTTGTACGAAATTAGGAGGTCCTCAATTTTGGTATGAAACTGTTTATAAAGGTTTAGCACTTGAAGATGAGGAGTTGTCTAACTTCCGGAAGCAATAGCCTCAATTAGAATAAATGCTCAAACTATTTATAATGCTTATCAAGTTGCATTAGATCATGCTAGACCAAATATTCCAACTCCTTCTTCTTCTGATTATCAATCATCTAAAAGAACTGCGAGAGTAAGAGCACTTAGTGCTTGGGCGGGGTTTAGGGGTTCTCAAGATTCTACTAGTTGTGATTTTTCACAACTAAATGAGCTTGAAGTTTATTTGTCACAGGGAATTGAGGAAGTGAATCCCCACGGATCCTTTAATCTTTTGGAATGGTGGAAGGACAAAGAAAAACACTTTCCGGTTCTTTCAAAGATGGCCCGAGATATTTTAACTATTCAAGCTTCAACAGTGGCAACGGAGAGCGCTTTCAGTCAAGCAAGACTTCAACTTGGTGATTATAGAGCGTCTATGAGGGAGAGCTTGAAAAAATCAGTACTTTTCAGATATTGAATTCCATTCGGAAAGAAGAAATTTTGGACTTGCTGAATCACAACCAGAGGCAGACAAAGCTTACGAAGAAATGCTAGCTTAACTTGCGGAGGATTCTACTTCGTCCGGAAGCGGTGATGACCAAGCTTCTTTTCCGCCACCACCAACGAAAATCCCTCCGAACCTTAATGGATTTATGAAGTTTGTAAGAGATACCATGTAACTTGTATGAACAAAAATTAGTATGTATTATGTAACTTGTATTTTGGCACATCTTGATTAGTTTTTTTTTTCTTCTCAAGGGTGGTATTAGCACCTTGTTGTGCTCATTCCATAGGGGGGAGGAAGACTAAAAAAAGATATTGCCATGTGTTTTTTAATGCTATAATATAATTATAACGAATTGCTTTGAATATCTCTTTACAATATTTTGTCTTTAAATTTGAATTAAAAATTTAGGTCACAATTCTATAATAAAATTTACAAGGAATTGCCTTAGATATTTCTATTAACATCTTTTTTTCTCTAATTTCTATAAAAAAATTATAAAAAAAAAGTATATGTGGGCCCACTTAGGCCCACTTAGCCCGCGGGCCGGGACCATTTAGCCCGGGACCATTTGTTCGTGGGCCCGGTTCCGAGCCGGTTCCTACAAAAAGACCACCAGGACCGGGGCCGTTTGGCCCGTTTAAATCGGGACCGGGACCGTTTGGACCGGCCCACTTAGGCCCGGGACCGGCCCACTTGCCACCGTTATACGTGCCCAGTCAAATAGGTTCACATAAATTGAAACGGAGGGAGTATATCATAAGCCAGTTTATTCTAAGGTGTACAATGCAAGCAAGACATTTTGCACCACAGGACATAAAGTGACACTAATGAAGTCAAAAATGAGAAATAATAATTTAATTGGTATAATAACATAATTAAGAAGTCACTTCCATGATGAAACGTTCCTTTCACTTACACATGCTCCCTGATTCTTGTAAGTTGTGTGCCATCCATTCCCCATACACGACACGTGCAATCCTCGCCAGCAGTTATGATTAACTAAGCAGAGTCCCACATATAGAGAGACAAAACCAGACTTAGAAGCGATCCTCACATGTCCCACATTTGAAGGAAAGGAATGCACAAATTCTTAATGAACCATCACAACGTACAGTTTTACAATAAATATTACAGCATAGCATCATCAATATATAAAATGTCCCCCTCATGAAGAACACAGAACCGTCTGATACATGAAAACTATTTCTGGCATTAAATCTGCACAAAATAAAAAAAGCAACCGCAACTGGGCTCTCTTGACTCTCTAAAAAACCCTATAAGTTACATGTCTTCGTTATCAATGTGCATATTGAAGATTTTGGTTTGCACTGACAGCGCTACGTGATTACATGTAGGCTTTTCATTACTTCTTGCTTGTCAGATTGTTCCCCAAGTATTAAAATAAAGTCAAAGATTGGCAAGATAAAAGTATTGATATTCATACTGATAAATAATTGTGAGATTGGAAAATGCAGAAGCTCAGTAAGCATATATTTATCTGACTTGTCAAGCTACGCAAAATGTGATAGCTTTTCTTTTGATAACCGTGGTATCGGGCCAGTTTGCGTGCACCTCGACTAATTCCACGGGGTACCTACTACCTCCCACCATCACAGGTACCATGTAACTCTGTCCACCAAGGTTTTGATAGATGGGAGAAATCACCCAAGTATTTTTGCCTCCACTGGGATTTGAACCTAAGACCTCGTAGTACTCAACACCTTATTGACCACTAGACCACACCCTCAGGTGCTATATAATGTGTTTTCATTGTAGAGAAGAAGTTTAACCAAAACCTGAGCGATCTTCCCTATCTTCTCTTCTCCTCTTTTTACAAGCTTATCCATCTATCCTCATCATAAATTGTCCCTAGTTGTTTACAAGTTCATTAGTTCTGAAGGAACTGGGACACTGGACAAGTTTTTTTAGCTGACTTGTTGTATTCTCCTGCAAACCCCTGGTCAACCCCAGCCATAAAATGCTTTAGACCATTTAGATAGCTTTTATTACAAGGTTGCACAGTTATTTTTGACATCTGCAACTTCAGTACTTTAGCCTGCTGAACAGCATATTCCCTGATGCTGTGTAAGTGAATTACAAAGTACTTTCATGAACTTACAGAGTCAAATATATAGCAGTCCCAAATTCTAGCACTGTGACCAAATAAGACAGAGTCAACCACGTGGTTGGAAGCATTAGCACCGAGCGTCCAGATACGAGCACTGCACTAACAAAAAAGAAGAATAACCACCTAAGTCGCTGATTAAATGTTTCTATGGATCAATATATACATAGGTGTTAATTAAGAAAAATATGGACCTTCGATCATCAGATACAGATACTAGTTTAAATCCATCAGCAGACCATGCAAGGCGGAAAATTGAACCTTCATGTCCAATTAGTTTACATATATTTACAGCTTCATATTGCTGACAAGGAAGCTGGCGACCCTCGTGACTGGTCAAATGTAAAACGTCTTCTGTAGGGCTTCCAATAACATCAGGAGCAGCCTTACAACCCACTTTCCAAACAAGAACCTGCCAAACCCAGATCAAGAAAATTAAGCGCCTGTCGGAGGACATGCATATATCAAGGAGCATACAAAAGGCGTTACGAACACCTTTGAACAGATCCATTTTACCAAAGAATTAAGTGATAATTTTGAACTGTCAGAAACTGTAAAAACAAGAGAGTCAATACAGGCTATAGAGCATATCTTCAGTTATTGAACAATATCCAACCAAAACTGTAGAAGGCGAACCATAAAATCTGTTTATAGTATGCAAAAATATTCAAAAAGAGAAGTTTTCAGGAAAACAGTCAAAGTAGTCAAAAGAAACTTCTAAAGAATGTGCATTCATCTTTTCTGATAGCAGAACAATTTTAACCATGTACCTTATGACTCAAATATCTGAAGCATCACTAAGGTTTATATCCTAGTGGTATTTGTGGGACTCTCCCACACAATAGATGTGGGTTTGATTCCCACTGCACTCTTTCCCTTTCCCTTTCTTGACCCCCCCTATAAAACTGCCTAGGGTATTGGCGGGATGATTAGGATTCTCCACTTTAAACCAGAGGTCTCAGTTTTGAGACCTGAGAATGTAAAATGAAAACCTACCGGTGGGGAGCGTTTTGCCTGCTTAGTGGGCCTGTTCGGTGAATCCTGACTAATCAAGCCAGAGAGTTTCGGATAACGGATGTATAAAGCAAAAAGATCCATGAAGTGTCATTTGAGGCTATATTGCTAGATTATTTAATTTATTTAGAGACAATATTAGGGTTAAAATTATCATAAGTGATGGAAGAAATTTCTCCGATGACAGATGAACATCTCTGCAATATATCAAAAATACTCCTAAGTTTGGACAAAACACTATAGCAAGGGAAATATGATAAGATAGAGTGGGAAAAGGTATAACCTAAATATTGGTACCTCATTAAGGATAGTGCCAGATGCTACACGGAGAGATCCAACATCATCGCCCCAAATCCTCATGGAGTACAACAAACACCTTTCTAAAAGTTAGATGAAGAAAAGAGTCAAAAGCATGAACCGTGGCATCCATGGTTGAATTAAGTCTCCTAATGAACAATAGAACAGAAAGCACTGGTCTAGTATGATAACTGATAAACCAACCTGAGCATCTTACTCTGGAAAGGAGAGAACATCTCAACATATCCCAAATATGTACAGAATTGTCACTGCATCCTATGGCAAGACAATCACCATTGTTTGAAGAAGTAGCACCATCCCACTACCACCACATGTTCAGTATCATAATAAGCATAAATCCGACAAAAGGGGTAAGGTGTTTCATAATTAAGAAAGAGTTTAACTTTTGTGTACGGTCAGTGTACAGATTTCTTACACCATCAGGTTAAGTTGACTTAACAATAGATAAGTCTTTCATATGGTAACCTGGAAAATAGAGTAATAATGTGCTATAACTAATTAAAATTGAACAAATGGTGTAAATTTTCATTCCACTATCAGTGTATATAACTTAAATCCATTGAGAAAAAAGTTTACCTTCAAAAAGCTAACGTCCAAAACCCAGTGGCTAAACTTAGGTAACAGGAGCAGGAGACTTAAAGTTAAATGAAAACATGCTTGTTGCTCAGTTTGAGAATTAGAGACCCTCTGAATTTGCAAGCTGAAAACTTTAACTCTCCTCTCACCATAGACTGCGATATTTAAAGTAACATGTGAACCCGACAAGTGTTCGTTAAATGTCTGCAAAGAAACTCCATGCACTCGAATTCCGTCAAACACATCAAATGATTTTATCATCTTCCCAGTCGTTAAATCGTAGACAAGAATTTGTGAACCAGTTCCTGTGGATACACGTTAATTGTATGCTTAGAACCGTTTCCGGTACAAATATAGTAAGTAAAGAATAACAAAATGATAAAGAGAACGGACCAGCTAGAAGAAAAGGAAGAGAAGAGAAGTCAGGAGGAAGGTGTAGAAAGCAAAGGGCAGAGATTTCTCCAAGGTACTGCCCTCTTTGGAGGCAACAGCTGCTTTGCTCCGCCATGATTAGGAGCTACAAGCAGTCGGCAGTGCACTGGTGAGGTTCACTTGCGGCAGTGTTCAAATGCTAATGGCCAATTGGGCTAGTATTCAGTTTTAATGGCCCGTTTGAGACCTCCTGGCCTCTTACCGATCATAACCTCTTCAGAATAACCCAATTTAGGCAATACAAATGTGTGTTCTTTTTAATAAGTGCCGTGAACCTCAATTATTTGAGGGCCAAGATATAAATTTGACCGATCCCCTGAAACTACCTATATTTGCTAGCCAAAAAGCATAAAGGAGCATATTATATGTCTGTTGTAACATATATACAAAATTATATGTCTCTTACACAAAACATATACTTTTTGTGGGCTATTATTTTTAGGAGCCGTTAAACATATATTTTTCATTATTTTTTTAATTGTATATTTGTTATATCTCATCAACATTAACAATATACCCAGTATTATCCTATACTGTGTGGTCTAGGGAGGGTAGTGTGTATGCAAACCTTACCCCTACCTTGTGAAGATAAAGAGATTGTTTCTAATAAAACCTCGGCTCAGGAAAGCATAAGCACCACATTAGTGAAAAGATAGACAAGAAGGGACAGCACCAAAAAGCCATATAAAAACAACATGATAATAAGATGATCAAAATGAAAGAAAACGACGTGTAGTCATATAAACCTACTACCAACAGAATGCAAGAGTGCGTACTAATACTACTGATCGAGGCCAACCTTGTACTACTATGAAATAGCAAGAGAGGTCGAAGCAGCTTTTACCCGAGAAGGTCGGGATCGATTTCCACAGGGAGCTAGATATTGGAGTTGAGTTTCTATCTAAATTGGTGTTGCGTATTTGTTCCTAATTGCACTTCTAAACATTGTTGGTTTTGATTTTACTTCTAATTTTATACTACTACAATGCTAAATTAGGCTAAGTAAAGCTAAGATTAAACTATTGAGAGTTGTTCAAATAGATAAAAGGCACTAGGGTAGTGACTTTCTCCTAGGTGGTTAATTGACGGATTCTTGAGTCTAAGACTAGATTGTCACATTTGGGGAGTATGATATAACCATTGCACGATTCTACTCACTCTATACCTCTCTGTAGTTCGAGTGATTTTGCCCAAATTGACTTTCTCAAGATCAATTGTGTATGCAAATTTGTGCAAGCAATTGAGATTCAAGTCGGGTATTACTATCTCTAGGTTTAACCCTTTAATTGGGGCTATCAATCTCTTGAATATGCCTCAATTCCTTGTTGGACCAATTTCATGGACTTAGGCTCTCTTTCTCAAGAAGAGACAAAGTCTACTAGGCATGAACTAGTGTTTGCAACCACTAATTCAACATTAAAACCCTAAATTAGTCCAAATATCAAACACACATAGACAATCAAGCATCAAAACACAAGACCCATCAATTACCCACACTAGGGTTGAGCCACAACCCTAGCTAATGGGTCTAGTTACTCATAATTATAGAAGAAAACAAAGAAATAATGAAGAAAAGCCTATAATAATTAATTACTAGATAAAACTTGAAGATTCAATATTGAAACTAAGCTAAAATTACTCAAAACGATAAAAGAGAGGAGTTCACGAGCGCAGCTCTGTCCCCAAAATCTATTTGATGACCTAAAAATGGGAAAAGAAACTATTTATGCTAGGCTGAAAATTCTGGACAAAAATACCCCGGCAGGTCTAGTGCGGACCGCACAAAATCGAGTGTGGCCGCACTAACGCTCTTGGCTTGACTATTCTGCTCTCTGAAGTCGGCTACCGCGAACCGCATAAAATGCACCGCGGTCGCGGTGGCTCCTATTGCGGTCCGCATAAAATGGACCGCGGACCACATTGGCCAGGTTCCTCTAAAATGTCACCTCTCTGAACTTGAGCTCTACAGACCGCACGAAATCGAGTGCGGCCGCAATGACATCAATGCGGTCCACACAAAATCCTTTGTGGCTATATTGCTTGGCTGACTGAGAAGCATACTCTCTGATCTTCATCTTTGCGGACCGCACAAAATGGTGTACAACCACACTGGACCTATTTGACTGAGCTTGGTCTTGGTCTTGATACTTGTGCAAGTTTCACTCCTTTTTGTGCTGATTTTTGATACATTGTCACCTTGTTGATCAAACCTGCAATCAAGTACAACTAGTGAGCCTTTGGGACTATTTTGTACACATTTCTAATCAAAACTTAAGCAAGAAGGAGGGTAAAATGCATCATAATCCCTAGTTATCAACTCCCCCAAACTTAAGCTTTTGTTTGTCCTCAAGTAAACAAAATATGACCCACCCTTTGAGAGTTAATCCAAGAAAATTCAGCCGACCTAAAGTGACCTCATCTAGCATCAATTGGGACTAACAATTGCCCTCAATTCAAATGAATTATTAACAACATTCACTCTTTTAAACACCATGGGTTTAGTGCGACACAAGAGCATCAAGAGTTGACTCAATACATCAAATAAGCTCTTTCTATTACTTTGGTCGTTGTGGAACCCAAACTCACACATCTTCAACTCTCCATAAGCAAACCTCACCTTTAGGATAGTGGCACTCAGAACGAGGTTAATGGAAATACACTCATCTCTCTCAAGGAACAGTCACAAGTCCGGCTCTAAATATCATATGCTTGCCCCTTATGTAAGTCACCACTAATGAAAGTTTCATTCAACTCAAGATCATATAGGGCTTTTGTGGAGACATAGTGAAGGCTTTTGGTTCAGGGTAGAAAATGCTTGGTCTAAGTAGGTTCCATCTTCCCTTTAGCACTTCTTTTGCTTCATTTTGGCACACATTCACTTGACTTTAAGTCATTTCACTTCTTTCTAAGGGGTTAGAGAGACACACTGTCACTTTTTTTTTCATTTAAAATCTTTTCTCCTTCCTCAACTTTCCACATCTTTCATTCTTTGCTTTTATTGAATCCCTTGATTCATTTCTACATAGAACATTCTTTTTGTCTTTTTGCTTTTCTTTCTTTTTCATTGCCTTTCCTTTTCTTCATTTTGTACCCTTTTACCACTTTGTTGCAATCCTCGTCTCTCCCCTCAAACTTATAACTTTGTCATGCACTAAGGAAAGATCGGGTGCCAAGAGAGGGTATCTTTTAGAACGGATAAAGGTTTGTATCGTGGTTCTTGAACCAAAAAGGTCTAAGGCTCAAAAAGGTTGACTAGAGATTTTATCATTGGTGGGCTATAGAAGTGTTCAAGATATCATTTGGATCAAGGAGAGCCTATAATCATGTCTCAAGTCAAATTACACTTAGGATTTTGCCTAGATAAACATTCAAGGCAAGTTCTAGACCAATGGCTCGGGACTTGGACTTGCAATTTCAAATTCTCACCACGCAAGCTATGGAATTGCTTAAAGACATAGAGTCGGGGGCCCACAATAACCTTAGATAAGATTTGAGCACACAATGGTCCCGAAAAACCACTTGATGATTATCGGCCAACACAAGAGTCTCAAGGTCACAACTTTTACCATCATATACATAACGATTTGTTTTTTACCATAAGATCAAAGGCAAATGTGTTAGGCCCAAGTGAAGCTTTGATTGAGGCATCCTTACCAACTAACTACTAAAAAGCAAAAAGAAAAAAAACAGACTCAAACCCTTAAGAAGGTTATCATGCCATCCATCACCGGGAAGAGCCACCCGGTTCACACAAATTTCACCTTTGGAAAGAACCGTGGCATTAAGAAAACCAAAGGCCTATTGCAAAAACTCAAAACAAGAAGCTACGAATATAAAATAAGAAGCTCAGAAAAAGAAAAATGTGGAAAGTAAACTGAATATGTACAAGAGGGGGATTTAACCGAATATACAATAGGGGAGATGAATATATACAATGAAACGTAACTTTTATATACAGGACCAAGGTAAAAAGTACAAAAATGTAATGAAATACTAAAATTATATACATACCAAAGATAAAGAAAGAAAGAAAGAAAGAAATCATAAAATCTGTCATATATATACAGTCATCCAAATCCAAATAGGGCCTACCCCCTCAAATGAAAGTTGGCATTGTCCTTAATGCCAACTAAGCAAAATAAGCACAAAAATAGAGGAAAGAGGAAAAAGAAACTCCCTATGGGCCGTCCGTCTGCTCGGGAACATGTGACTGGCTCCCTGTGATCCGTGGCTCTGCTGCTGGGACCTGGGCCTGAACCTAGACTAGCTCCTACATGGGTTCGCCAACTGAATGACTGCATCATCGGACTGGGGGATTACTCTCTTCCTCTTAGGAGGACTCTCGGACTGCTCTGGCTGGGGATGGGCTGCTGGTGCTTGGGTCATAGAGTAGCAAATCCAAAGGCAGGTGATCCGCCTTTAATCTCTTAACCTCGACCCGTAACTCCTTCACTGACTCTTTGGAAGCCTGAGTCTTCTTCATCTTCTTTACCTCCCTAGCAAGCTCCTTGAGAGCCTTTTCATGTGAATCAACACCGTCCATGAGCAATTTCTGGTTCTCAAGGATTTTCTTCTGGTTGTCCAGAATATCCTTGAGAGTGTCCTCAATGGACTGTGGGACCTGTGGAGGAGGAGGTGCTAAATGAGCTGCCACAGTAGTAAATAATACAGACAGCTTAGAAGTAGTTGTCTGCATTCAGTTGTTGATGCTGGTGAGGGCCTGGCTTAGACGGTGGGTAGTCAATGGATAGGCAGTGGTGGAGGGTATCTCTGGATCTGTGGAAGTGGATGGGCCTGGGGCCATGTCTACTGAAGTGGAGGGAGGCTGCGGTGTAGTCATTACCAATACTGGCTCTTCAGACTGGCTAGTTGAAGTAGTGGATTTTCCCCTGAAGTTCTTGCCTTTAGGGTTGTCATCACCATGTAGGTTGTACCACGAGAAAGGTGTCTTTTCCTTCACTTTCACGTCAAAACTGCGTTTTTCCACATTTTGGTCCTTCAGGTACATGGTCAGAAAGTTGGGGAATGGGTAAGACATGTCACCCTCATTCACTACCTGTGTAATGACCCGGGACATCACATTCCCGACATTGATCAGGTACCCCGCCATGATGGATGCTACTAAGATCGTCCGGTGAATTGGGAGTGAGTTGTCATGGGTGGTAGGATCTAGCCTGCTACACACAAATGTCTCCCACTCCTTCGCCTCGAAGTTCAATGTCCTCCTCAATATCT